AAAAAAGAAGAGAGAGAGAGAAAGAGAATCACTTGAACCCTGAAGTTTGAGGTTGCTGTGAGCTATAACACCATGACAGTCTACCTAGGGTGACAGAGTGAGACTGTATCTCAAAAAAAAAAAAAAGATAAGACACTAAGATCAAGGACACCAATAGCAACTAATTCTAACTCAGGCCTGAGGCTGTCCCGCACACCCACCTGGGGCAGGGTGTACCCCCGGAAGCAGGTGGTCCGTGTGAGGGCACGGGGTATTCCCATGGGCACCAGTGCCAGGAGGCGCTGTGCCTCATGCAGAACCGCATTGGTGTAAGGGAGACGAGTCCGGTCCTCTAGGCCTGGCGCTCGGCCATCCCCCAGCTCCCGAGTCAGCTCCTCATGCACACACTCTGCAAGAAGGAGGCAAAGGTTAGAGGTGGGGTGGGGTGGGGGGGCTGTGATCTTCCTCCATCTTCTTGGGCAGCCATGGCAGGTGGGGAGGAGCAGTTCCCTAGTTCTTACAGAGCCCTGAGCTCACACATCTGTGTGTGTGGTATTCTGTCTATCCTCTAGTTCCCACAGCAATCCTATGAGGTAGGAAATATCATCTATACCCATTTCCCAGATGAGAAAACTGAGGCCAGGGAATCCAAATCAGTTGATACCACTCCACTAACACCAGCAGGCCCCCAACTGCCATTTTCTAGGTCAGCCTGTCTCACTAGCCCACTAAAATGCTGGCATTCCTTAGGACTCATTCCCAGATCTACCCTTTATCCAAGCACCCCTCTCATTACTGCAGCCTCAGTTCCTGTCAGTGCTCTGATGATCCCAATTCTTCATCTCCCATCCTGACCTGGGTATCTTGTTGTCTCCCAGATGCCTGACCCAGGGTGCCCCCAGGCTCATACTCAAATTAATCCAAACCGACCTCAGCATCTCTCCCTGAAATCAGCTCTTCATTCTCTTGTCCCTGTCACAGGGTGGCCTCCTGGACCCCAATTCCCTGAGCCTGTCCCTGAGAACGTCCCCTCCCTTTTCATTTTCCCACAGCCTGGCTCAGCTCTGCAGTCCTATGTGGACTCCTGACATCTCTCACCTTTCAGAGTCCACTTCTTTGGGGCAGCCCAAAGGATTTTCCTCAAATGCAAATTTGACCCTGCTCAAAGTTCTGCCATGACTCCCCATGGCTTAGGATAAGGCATACTGGATATCACCAAGGTGACAAGGCCCTGCAAATGTCTCCTTCATCTTTCACTACACTTGATGCTGCAACCAGCAGCCCCTCGACTTCTTCTTACTCCTCAAATAACCCAAACGCCACATTCATTCTCACTTCCAGGATCTGCCTTGGCCTGTCTGTTCTGCCTGCAGTCTTTCCTCTCTCGTACTCTCACTCTGTTCCCAAGGCCTAGCTGGTGGAAAGGCTCTCACTTTGGACCTGAGGATATTTCACCAGGAGCAGGAGGGCGTAGCCGACCGTGGCACTGACAGTCATCGTCCCAGCGAATAGCAGATAAGTGACTGTCATCAGCAAGTTCTTCTCTGTGAATTCTGTGTTTGGGTCTTGTTCCTCCTGGGGAAAACCAGGCAGAGGGGCTCAGAGAACACAGACTGTGGATAGTAAAGGCCTAGGGCAGCCAGGCTTGGGGTGCGGCACAGCAAGTTAAATTGTTTTCAGAGAGTTTAAGCTCCTGATATTAGTTCTCCCTGATTGAAACATTATTAGAAAAGGAAAGAACATGGCTACTAACATCACAGGAAATAACGAGTGTTGGTGAAAATATGGAGACATTGAAATCCTTTGTAATGCTGGTGGGAGTACAATAGTACAATTTTTTCTCAAAAAATTAAAAATTAGGCTGGCTGGAGCATGCCTGTAATCCTAGCATTCTGGGAGACTGAGGCAGGTGGATGTCTTGAGCTCAGGAATTCAAGACCAGCCTGAGCAAGAGCAAGACCCCCCATCTCTAATAAAAACTGAGTGCACACCTGTAGTCCCAGCTATTAAGGAGGCTGAAGCAGGAAGGTTCCTACAGCCCAGGAGTATGAGATTGCTGTGAACTATGATGATACCACAGCACTCTACAGAGACTCTGTCCCCCCCAAAAAAACAAAAAAAAATTAAAAATTAAATTATCATATGATCCAGCAATTCAAATTCTGGGGATATACCCCAAAGAATTGAAAGCAGGGACTAGAAGAGATAATTATATACTCATGTTCATGATAGCAGTTACTCATAATAGCAAGAGGTGGAAGCAACCCAAGTGTCCACGGAGGGATGAATGGATATACAGAATGTGGTATATACATACAATGGAATATTATTCAGGCTCACAAAGGAAGGGATCCTGTCACATGCTACGACATGATGAACCTGAGGGCATTATGCTAAGTGATATAAGCCAGTTACACACAAAAATAAATGTACTTATGAGGTACCTAGAGTGGTTAAATTTATAGACAGAGGCCAGATGTGGTGGCTCATTCCAGCATTTTGGGAGGCCCTGGAAGGAGGATCACTTGAGGCCAGGAGTTTGGGGCCAGACTGGGCAATATAGCCAGACCCCATCTCCACAAAAAATAAATAGCTTACAGGGCATAATGGTACATGTCAGTAGTCCCAGCTACTTAGGAGGCTGAGGCAGGAGGATCACTTGAGCCCAGGAGTTTGAGGTTACAAAGAGCTATGATCTCAGCACTGCATTGTAGCCTGGGTGACAGAGTAAGACCCTGTCTCTAAATAATAATAATAATAATAATGTATAGATAGAAAGTCAAATGATGATGGTTGCCAGGGGTTGAGGAAAGAGAGAGTTATTGTTGTTTGACAGGAATGGAATGGAAATTCAGCTTTGTAAGATAAAGAGTTCTGGAGATCGATTGCACAAAGTGAATGTACTTAACAATAGTAAACTGTATATTTAAAAATGGTGGGCCAGGCCTGGTGGCTTACATCTGTAATCTCAGCACTTTGGGAGGCCAAGGTGAGGGAGGATTGCTTTAGGCCAGGAGTTCTAGGTTGCAGTAAGCTATGATTGTACCACTGTAATCTAGCCTGGGCAAAAGAATGAGATCTTGAGAATGTCTCTTAAAAAAAATAAATAAAAATAAAAAAAAAATCATTGGCTAGGTGTGGTGGCTCATGCCTATAATCCCAGTACTTTAGGAGGCTGAGGTAGGAGGATTGCTTGAGGTCAGGCAACATAGCAAGATTCTAATACCTACCAAAAAAAAAAAAAAAAAATGGCTAAGAAGGTAAATTTCTGCTTGTAATGCTGGCACTCTGGGAGGCTGATGCAGGTGGATTGCCTGACCTCAGGAGTTCAAGACTAGCCTAAGCAAAAATGAGACCCCGTCCTTACTAAAAATAGAAAGACTAGCCAGGCACTGTGGCAGGTGCCTATAGTCCCAGCTACTTGGGAGGCTGAGGCAGGAGACTCCCCTGAGCCCAAGAGTTTGAGGTTGCTGTGACCTATGATACCACAGCACTTTACCCAGGGTGACAAAGTGAGACTGTCTCAAAAAAAAAAAGAAAAGAAAAAGAAAAAAAACATAAAGATGATAAATTTTATGATATGTGTATCTTCTACAATTAAAAATTAAAAAAAAATTCTGTTAAATGAAAGTGAAAACAAATGAGGCCACAGAGTTAAGAAATTTTTTTTCTCCAAAAATAGAGTGGCTGCTTTTATTCAAAGGATGTGGCCCTGAATATCATACATACTTCCAAAATTTGTACAATTCAAAATTAGCTCTTTCCTTAGGAGTCAACTTAATTTTAATTTTCTCATGTAACTAACAAAGTAGACTATATTAACATAACTTGATTTTGCAAGGTTTCATACTTAAATGATCATAATTTCGCATAAAATGTCTAGTGTGGGTGCGGGCACGGGGAGTGATATGATACTGAAAATTGCTGGTGCAGGACCCTGGGCATGGTGCATGAACACAGGCTGAGGGAGGAGAAAGAGGAAAGATGAGGGAGAGACTGGGAGCCTGGCACCAACACACTCCAGGTGTGGGGCAGAGAGAGGGAGAGAGAACAATGCATGGAAAGAGACAGACAGACAGATGGATGGATGTGCACACACACTTAGAGACTTACGTGCACACAGAGACATGCAGAGAGGCAGGAGAGACTGAGACGCCCAGGTACACCCAGGTGGGCACCAGTCATGCCACTAGCCCCATTTTGGGGAATCTCTGCACCCTTTCCCCACCTGTGCCATCTTCAGCAGGAAGGCGTCAACAAGGTCACGTGCAGGACCTGAGGTGTCCAGACTCCCTTGGTGCTGCTGTACCTGCTGGATAGCAAAGGCAGCCAGGGTACCCAGATGGTGGAAGAGCTGCGTGTGAGGGCCTGGCAGGGGCCGCAGGAGCCGGAAGAACATCTCATAGGTCTGTAGGGGAGAAGGGCAGTTGGTTCTCACAGAAGCCTGGCAGAAACCTTTGGGGAAAGTGGCCAGAGAGGGGTCCCACCTACTTACCTGGCCCCATGGGGAGCTGACCCCCAGCAGGGTACCGCCAGCTGCCCGGACCACAGCCTGAAACTCCTCATCCTCGTAGGGGAAGCGGAGGCCAAAGATGAGGGAACAAGCTACATTGGAGGTGGCCTGGGCCAGCAGCAAAGAAGGATCAAAGGGGTGTCCTGGGGGAGCAGAGGGCAAAGGAGGAGGCTGGGTTGGAGCTGGGCAGAAGGGAGCTAAGGTAGGGCAGACCTCCATATAGGGTGCGGGCTGGACCCGACCACAGAGACAGACAGGGATACATACAAACATGGAAAGAGACACAGATAGGGAGAAAGACAGAAACAGAGCAACCATCAGAGTTTGACAGGGAGGGAGAATTAAGACAGACTTAGGGTCAGAAAAATAGAGGGAAGTTAAGAAAAAGAGGCAGAGAGAAAGATGGTGACCAAGAAAGAATGAGATGACAGCCAAGGACACAGAAAGAGATGTCATGACACCTACAGAGAGACAGCTATAGAATTCAAGGCTTTGCCACCCACTCTGCCCAGGGATCTGGAACTGACTCTGCCCTGCTGACCTTTTGTCTCCCAGAAAGCCTCCACCAGATGCTGGGCCTCTGACTGGATCAGCTTCTCGCCTTCTGGCTTCCCCATGCCCAGGTCCCGCAGAGCAAGCATGGTGAATTTTCTCAGCTGCTTCCACCGCACCCCATTGGAAAAGAAGACCCCTGTGCAAAAGGCTAGACTTAAGGAGACACTGGCACCTCTCCCCATTCCCCAGGACCACCCTGTTCCTCCTAGTGAAGTACCCTAGAGGGGGACTCTTCAGCTCCTGTCCTAAGTCCGTACCAGCCTAGTCCACGGATGAGGACTCGGTAGGTTCTCAATAAATGCATAATCAAACTGGTTTCTCCATCTTTTGACTTTGGAGCAGAGGGTATATTTTCTGTAAAATAGGTAAATGGAATATCCCAGGCTTCTGCTCCTTAATTAACCAGGGCAAGTAAAGAGGTCTTCCTTCCATTCACATTGTATCCCTCCTTCCTCTTCTTCCCGCCTCTCCTCTCATCCACCCTCCCCAATATTTATGGAGTATCAGTGGTCCCTTACCTCACACAGGCTGGATGTTGAACAGAGAGGGAAGAGGATGGTCCTGCACTGTTTTCCTCCTTTATCCAAGATACCTGCTCTAGACAGACCCTCCCCTTCACTAAACTTAGTGTTTCCATCTGTTGGAAATGCCACCCTGTAGGAGCCTCCTGGACACCGCCTCCTGAGTGTCCCCTATGTCCCAAACTGTGCCCTCCCCCAGTGATCCCTTTCCCTCTCCCCACTGTGTTCCAAACTGGCCTCAGCTTCTCTCCTCCCCGTCTCAGCTCACCATGCATTCATCCTCTGCTTCCTGGCCAGAGCCCCAGCTTTCTCCCTGTTGACCCTCCCAACCATCTCCTCCTCTCCATCCCATCACAGCAGCCCTCGTCTAGCCCAGTCCCTTCCCCAGGTCCCTAGTCCCCAGTTTTGCTCTTTTACAGAGTGACCAGAGGACTTTTCTAACTCTTATCTTCCCTGCTTAAAATCTGCTGCTCCCAGGAAAACCAAATGTTTGAACACTCTGGCATGACTCATGGGCCTTGCATGACCAGGGCTCTGCTCACTTCTCAGCTTTATTACTCATCTCACTACAACTGCACAGCCTCCTCTCACTTCCTCAAAGGTATCAGGATCCCCACACCCACCCACCTTTGCCTCTGCTGCACTCTCTGCTTCCATCACTGGTACCCCACTCCCATCCTTTGTAGGTTAACTCCACTCATCTTTCCTGTCTCAGCTCTAATGGCACCTCCTCTGAGAAGCCTTCCCTGATTCCTCCCCAACCCACTCACATGGGGTCTTCTGTACCACATGTCTTACTCTCAAAGCTATATATATATATATATATTTTTTTTTTTTTTTTTTTTTTTTTTGAGATAGAGCCTCAAGCTGTCGCCCTGGGTAGAGTGCCGTGGCATCACAGCTCACAGCAACCTCCAACTCCTGGGCTCAAGCGCTTCTCCTGCCTCTGCCTCCCAAGTAGCTGGGATTACAGGCACCCACCACAGCGCCCGGCTATTTTTTGGTTGTAGCCGATGTTGTTGTTTGATGGGACCAGGCTGGAGTCAAACACGCCAGCTCAGGTGTATGTGGTTGGCGCCTTAGCTGCTTGAGCCACAGGTGCCGAGCCAAAGGTGTACTTCTTATTCTAGAATTCTATTCCCTTCCTCCATTGTCTCATCACAAGCCTGCCTCTTCCACAGTAAGAGAGGACACCACATCTATCTCAGTCACCTGTGTCCCCAGTATAAGACCAGGCATAATGAAAGTTTGAATGAATGAATGCTTCCTTTCTCATCTCCATGTTTTATAGGCAATAGACTTTGTTGCTGGAACACCCTTCCCGCTCACCTTACCAGTCTCACCTCAGATATCCTTTCTTCTAGGAAGACTTACTGAAAATCTTCCACTAAACCAGCTAGATCTGCCACCTCCTCCAGATTCCTATGGTCCCTGGGCCTCCCTCATTCCTGATCCCCCCCAACCCCAGGCCTGTGCTTCCCCATCTGGCCCTGACCACTCTGGGCTGTCACTGTCTGGCGACTGGTCTGTCTCCTATCAGCCTAGCACTATGGGGGAACAGTACTGGGGCTGTCTTAGTCACTGTTGTGTCCCTGGCTCAGCATGGGCCTCCTGCTTTTTCTGCACATAGAATGGTTTATATGGTTTCAGTGCTTACCCACCAATTCCAGTGCCTTCAGCTCTGTCCTGTGCCTCCTGAGGCCTGGAGCTTCCCCTGGATCAATGATGGCTATCACTGATACAACCTGGTAATTAGTGAGTGCTCACTTAGTGCCTAGCCCTGTCCTTATTCAATTCTTAGGACAACCCTATGAACTACTATCAGCCTGACTTTACAGATGAGGACACAGGGCTACCAGGCCATGTCACATACCAGTAAGTGGTGGTTGGCTCAAAGTGAAGGGCCTAGCAGCCTACCCCAGCTTCCACTTACCATGGCCGTCAAAAGTCCCGTCCAGCGTTGCCAATGCTCCTCGCCCACTGAACTCTTCAGCCTGGCCTCCCAGGGCCTCCTGTACAGCCTTGTGCCCAACGAGGACCACCACACGCCGCCAGGGGCCCAGGTACACGGTGAACACGGGTCCATACTTCTTGCTCAGCTGGGGCAGGGAGACAGAAGAGGTGGGTGCTGTGGGGTTCTTCCAGCCAAGGTGTCTCAATCACTGCCCCTGTCACTAGCTGAACTGCCTGGGCTGGCTTCTGCATCCTCTTGCAGAAGAGCCCCCCCCAAAAGGATCAGTTCTCTTTTTGCACCAGGCTCCTGGACCCTTCACCAAAGTGCCCCTCTCCCCTATCACTTCCTCAAGTCCCCACCTGCTCACTTCCTTCCTGCCTAATCTCTGACCCTGGGACATCCCTTTGGTGTCCCTTAATTCCTCAGCACCCTGACCTCCAAATGCCCAGTCACCCCTTTCTTTTTTTTTTTTTTTT